TGACTCCATCGCTACGGCCTTGTGCTAAACTATTGGTAATTATTAGTGTGTGTATAATTAAAGAGTCGCGTGTATACAATTAATCAGCAGCGCATTCGTGTTTGTACAATTTCCGGTTTTCTGCCCGTACCTTAATATTTAAAAACTGTTTGTTTAACCAGGTGAAGGCCCGCTGAGCGATGTTTCTCTGCTTCAGAGGCCACCTGGCCACAAATGATAGCTGAGCGAAGCGGCCCATCACGTGGGAATGTGTAGCGGCGAAATACTCTAAACGCGTGATGTTGATTCTACAAGTAGAGGGAAAGACCGGAGGAACTGGAGAAAAATCCACGCGATCACGGGGAGAGAGAGAGAGAGAGACATGGAAACTCCAAATATACAGCAGGCGTCAGGGTCGGGATCGAACCCACAACCCCCTGTATACCAGGGACGTGCGGTCAGGGGAGGCAGGGGAGGCAGAGCCTCACCTGTCATACTCCAATGAAAATAGCTGTTACGAAAAGTAACAAAAAATAATAATCAAATCAAATAAATATTAAGATTTTTACACTGATCTGTGTTATAAATGTCATTTCTGTACGATTCCAATCATTTGTAAAGTCAAAATTGCCAAATTTGCGGAGCTCCGCTGCAAATAGAGACTGGAGGTGAGGCAGCGACGCGCTCAGCCTCCCCTCTGATTGCGCAACCCCTCAGTAACTGGACGAAGCGCGGGCAATAAGCGCGTGCCTGTTACTATCTCAGTACGTCACCAATGTAATGTTTGTAGACCCCTTCATTTCATGTCCTCGCCTTCCATACTCCAGGTAACTTATTTCACGTGTGTGTTTGTCAGACACGCCCCCCTCAGTGAGGACACGCCCCCCTCTGTGTACAATCTGGCTCTGATACCAAAGTGCATACCCAGCCATTGATGTCACCGCACGTCAATGCTGCAGTATACCAGGCGGTAATATCGTCTAACCGCTTGCTTCTAAATGTGGAGGGCAAACCCAGAGGAATCTGGAGAACAATCCACGCGATCACGGGGAGAGGGAACACGCGGACTCCAAATACAAAACAGACATCGCCAGGGTCCGGGATTGAACCCAGGTCCTCCTTCCATGTGTTATATGTGAGGGAGATAATATCTAAGATAACGCAATGATCTTTATTGATGATGATGATGATGAACCAGCCCTCTCTTTGTCTCTTTCCCGAAGCTGTTATAATAAACCAGGGGCGGAGCCAGGATATTGACTTTGGGGGGGCTGACTTCAATATTCTGAGATGTCCAGTGTTTATGTTTTTCAATGGGCGCCACAAATGTATAAAACAAATTTAGTTGGATTTGAACGAGGAGTTTATTAATAGGTCGGAGCCGCTGATGTGGCTAATAAGTTCGATAAGTTCGAAAGGCTGCCGCTCAAGCAGCCTGCAGGGCAGCACGAGGTGGCAGCACAAGGTAGCAGCCTGCAGGGCAGCACGAGGTGGCAGCCTGCAAGGCAGCACTAGAGGTGGCAGCCTGCAAGGCAGCACAAGGTGGCAGCCTGCAGGGCAGCACAAGGTGGCAGCCTGCAGGGCAGCACACAAGGTTGCAGCCTGCAGGGCAGCACACGAGGTGGCAGCCTGCAGGGCAGCACAAGGTGGCAGCACAAGGTGGCAGCCTGCAGGGCAGCACAAGGTGGCAGCCTGCAGGGCAGCACACAAAGTGGCAGCCTGCAGCATTTTGCAGCAGCCAGATATCCGGTTACCTCGATTACCGACTTTCCCAAAATTTCAGGGGGGGGCTAAGCCCCAACCAGCCCCCCCCCTGCGGCTCCGCCCCTTTAATAAACTGACTCAATTCAAGAAACGCTTTAAATTCTTTATCCATACTCTTTGGTTCTTTCGGTAAAGTCACGTCGGTAGAAAAATAATAGATCACGACGTTTCGATCGCAACACAAGCAATCGTCATCAGGTGGGACAACCACAGCAAGAAAATAAAAACTGCTGAACTTTGATAGCGCTGTTTGTCGCTGGCCGTGTGATGTTGTGTGCCTCCCGTTAATGTAGCATGTGCAGAAGCAATTGTTTACCAAGAATATATATGTCTCACAATGCCCGCCTTTATCACCAGAGAGCGCTCGTGGACAGAGGATTCATCGTCACAGAATCGGATGGTTCTTGCGGCTGGGTATAGGATGAACATCCATCGTCGCCTTTTTTACCGCCTCATCCCAATCATGGAGCAGTGTTCGACGTATTAATATGTTTTAGATTCGTGTTGTCATCAGCCGTGTCCGTTTCGGTGCTCGCCAAGCTGCATTGGTTTTCGGTTTTCGAACAAAACACATTATGAGGTCGCACTCGTTAAGGGCCGTCCATAAATGACGTCTCGCGACTTCTTTGGTTCTTTCGGTAAGGTCACGTAGAATGAGAATAAAATAATACATTGATAAAATAAAATAGCACGGGAAAAATTATCACGACGTTTCGGCCACAACACAAGCGGCCTTCATGTTGTGGCCGAAACGTCGTGAGAATTTTGATTGTGTTATTTTATTTTATCAATTTATTATTTTATTCTCATTCTACGTGACTTTACCGAAAGAACCAAAGAAGATGAATTATTGCAGTCACGAAAGCTTTAAATCGAGACGTTACGTGATTTTGGACGATTTTTTAACCCCCCTCCCTCGCCACACGGCGTCACAAAAAGTCAGACCCCCCCCTCAAATATGACGTCACAAAGCTCTGCCCCCCCAAACCATATTTCCATTTTGAAAATAAAACATGCTTCAAATCGCTTTAAACTATTGCCATTGTAGTCCGTATTTAAAGTGGCGCTGCACTCTGATGTTGTAGGAGAAAACATTTATTAAAGTCAATTTAATTAAGTAGAACGTGTTGTCTATATTTATTTAAAGTTGCGCATTTTGATGTGACGTCACATTCTCCCCCCCCCACCTCTCGTCACACATCGTCACAAATGTCTGAACCCCCCCTCCCCCACCCCAGGTGCGTGACGTCATTTATGGACGGCCCCTTACACACACAAAGTGCTCGCTACAAGTGAACCACGATACCTCGCTGATGTCGTCTAGGAGCGTGAAGCCATCGTCACGCAGACTCCGATCATCCTCGCAAGCAGCGGCCTTTGGCTGCTCGCCGTTGAACAAAGGCAGTGGTCACCGCCCCATCGCGTGGCGCTTTCAGATGCGCTTCTTGCGGCCGTCTGGAACGCTCTTCAGATATTAGGAAGCCACTGGAGCTATGCAGTTTTAAAATCATCATCTGGATTTTTTTTTAGAACTGCTTCTTGCGTTTAGTTTAGTTGCCCTTCCCCCCCACCACACCTATACTTAGCACGGTTGGCTACGTACGGTGGGAAAGAAGTTCAACATGCACACAACTCTTAACATATCTTGGCCGATCACCGTACACCAACAATATATAGAAATAAATACAAATCTAAAAATGCAGCAAAATGTTAACTAAAGAGCCATCACGATTATTAATTTTCCTTCTATTGAGTCATCTAAATAGCCGATAGTCGTGCATTGGGCAGTAAAATAACACCATTTAAGTTCACCAAAAAACTGACACATTTGCCATTAATACTCAAGGTATGGTCTTAAAAAGAAATACATAATAGGCTACGTTTCGGTGAATGGCCCTTTTTCCGAGCACATACAAGAAGAGGCCAGAGATAAAGAGTGGAGAATAGTAAGATACTGCACTTGACACCACGGGACATGAGGGTAATTACATTGAAATAAATATTGATGACCGGCGTTTAAATTGTCAAACGACTATTTGTCTTAATAGGGTTAGATGGCGACCTAACCCCCAAAAAATAAACCTCTATTACGGATGATATTGGTCGCGAAAGCATACGTTTTAAACTGGCTATTTACCTAATGCACTCGTAGCTATTGGGGTAACGTGAACGTCCCTCCAGCCAGCCAGCAAAACTTAAAAAAAAATATATAGTATCTTATCTAATATACTGCGGATGAAAATAGCGCTTTATTCCAAGGCGCTTCACAGCAATTTAAAAATTGGCACATAACGTGACAGCGGTTGGGATAAAGAGGTTGTTCAAAGTGCCGGTATGATTTAGCGCGTCGCTTTTCAACTTAAATCTTAACTTAAAGCTTTCGTGACTGCAAGTTATTCATTTAGGTTCTTTCGGTAAAGTCACGTAGTTAGAAATAAAAAAACAAATCACGACGTTTCGATTGCAACACAAGCAATCATCATCAGGTGGGAAAACCACAGCAAAAAATTTTTTTGCTGAAGTTTGAAAAACATTTTTTTTGCTGTGGTTTTCCCACCTGATGATGATTGCTTGTGTTGCAATCGAAACGTCGTGATTTTATTTATTTTTTTCTTTCTAACTACGTGACTTTACCGAAAGAACCAAAGAGTATGGATTCCCGCAGTTACGAAAGCTTCAAATCAAGAGGAATTCATATTCTTTGGGTCTTTCGGCAAAGCCGCGTAGATCTAAGTAAAGTCACGTAGTCACGTAGATCTACTTGACGTAGATCCGCGTGACTTTACCGAAAGCACCAAAGAATATGCTTTTCAACTTGTTTTGGGTGGCATTACAGCCGCGCCCTCCCGGGCACACTCGAGATGGCTCCTGCCGCTGCCAGTCCCACGCAGCTGGTGCCATACACAGGGGCCACGCGGCCGGTTCCATTCATAGGCGACACCTCCGTCCACCCAGCAGTGTGACAACGCACAGCAGGTGAAATGTGGGTAACAATAATCCAAGACGCCATCTGTTCGCACGTGTCTCACTGTCAAGGGGAGTGGACGAAATTGCCCTCTAGCGCTCTCCCTGGTGGAGGCCCCCCTTCAACAGTGGCGCGTGCGCGAGTGGGGAATTTGCAGGGCCTGCGCCTTTGCCTATTTTTGTTGGTTCGTTTCGCGCCTCATTAATTGGGATTTCGCCGTGCTTGTGCGTTGTACGTATTATAACGCGCTCCGTGTTGAATATCGTACTACGTCTAAGCACGCCGGCTTCGGTGCCCACCCCCTACCCCCGCGCGCGCGCGCATGCGCTGTGCGCGACCCGGACCGCGGGGTTCTCAGAACCTCGCCGGGGTTTGTGAGAGGGAACCAACAACAAAAATTTAATCACGAAAAAAATCAACAAACGACCAAGGCGCGCAGCCTCGACGGCCATCAACAAAAGAAATCAACTGCTGAAGCAATCATTGTCTCCCTCCACCACCACCCCACCACCACCAACTCCTCGGGGCCCCCGTTGATCTTCCCGCATGGAGGCGACGCCGAGACACCGAGGCCGAGACGGGGTAGGCCCTACGGTCGGCCCTGGGGCACCTACCGAGGACGGCGCGCCCATTCCCGCGGAGCCGCTATCCGAGAGCCGGTGTCCCGACCTCCACCCCTTCGAGCACGTCATCCAATACAGCCGCGCGGACAAGCTACGCGTAAGCTCATATAGTGGATTTTCATTTTTTTTCTTTTATATATTTTTTTTGCTTTGTGATTTGTTCACGCGTGGCGTTTTTGTTCGCCCCGGTAGATTTCCGTGCACTCTGCGCGTTGGTGTTTGTGGCGTGGAATTTGGTGGCTTGTCTATTTTGTTTATTTTACAAAATTGGGATTTTTATTTTTGCTGTTGAAATGTCCTTACGGTATTCAGTTGTGTTGTATTTATTGGCAATGTTATTTAGATTTACAAAAAAAATTGCATCATTGTGCGATTTTCATTAACAGTAACATAATTTAGATTGTGCACTATTATTTTGTTGAATAATATCACATGGCGAACAATGTGTATGTATGGTTCTGTTCGTCGTTTGGATATTGTTCTCTTGATGTGTTTACCCGTAGAAATTAAATTAAATGTAGTTTCATTTAGTTTTATTTGCCCCTACCTGTTGATAATTTGTGTTTTGTCTTTTGAAGCTTTATCTATTTTGTATGTAATTAAAAATATATATTTATATTGAAATGAATACAGTTTCTCGTGCTGTCAGAGATTTAGGTATTTACAATTTAACGTAATTAATATTTTATGCAGTAGGTTATAATTTTGTGTTTGTAATTAAATATTAAACATAATTTCGTGTTATATAAAACAGTACAATTTAGGGTTCGTAATATAATCTTTATTACGCAGTTATAGTTTACAGTTTAATACAATTTATATCTAGCGTACAACAAATCATACAGTCCGTTTAAAATACAATTTAGATTTACGTCACAGTTTAAGTAATCATATATGTAAAATAAAATGTTTAATTATAATGCTACACTGATTACAGTTGTGTATGTGATCGCCTTCAGATCTCAGAAGCTAAGCGGAGTTTGAGCCTGGATATTGCATGGAGGGGTTTGCATTTGTAGGCAGCAGAGATTAGTGCAGCCGAAATGAATTCCAGGATTAGATCATAACTTTTGGAGGCTTACATTACTTTCCTCGCCGCGTTGACCAGCGTGGTGAAGTATGGTCAAACGGCACTCACGACCAGCACGGCTTGAGCGGAGGGCCTTCACCCAGCCTTTGATAGATACCTGGCCATACTGCATGGGTACCTGGCCATACTTCATAGATACCTGGCCATACTTCATAGATACCTGGCCATACTTCATAGATACCTGGCCATACTTGATGGGTCCCTAGCCATACTTCATAAATACCTGGCCATACTTCATGGGTCCCTGGCCATACTTCATAGATACCTGGCCATACTTCATAGATACCTGGCCATACTTCATAGATACCTGGCCATACTTCATGGGTCCCTAGCCATACTTCATAGATACCTGGCCATACTTCACGGGTCCCTGGCCATACTTCACGGATACCTGGCCGTACTTCACAGATACCTGGCCATACTTCACCCCACCGCCGGTCAGTCCGGTTTTGGTGAAGGTGGCGAGCATAGATGTGGGAGCGTAGAAGTGCAGTTCAACAGTGGATATTTTCTGCACTGCCCTGGATAGCACCTGTTGTACGCACACTGGTCGCCCATTCGAGCACTGTCCAGGCTCAACCCTTGCTTAGCTTCTCGCGATCTGACAGCATCGGGTGCATTCGGGGTCTTTTTGGATGATGCTGATGGTGAGCAGCAACAGCTGTTGTTTTACATGAAGTTGGTGGAGCCAGATAATTCCATCGGGAGTAGCAGAGAGCATCGCTGTTATGACAATGATGATGATGCCCTCCTTCGTATGTGTGAATTGGGTACTGAGACGTTATACGTCCCGTGGTCAGTTCTGGGTGACCGCAGTCGCACATTAATCCGTTTTTAGTTTTCCATTTCGCAGTGATTTAACCAAAGAGGTTTAGAAAAGATGTACGTATGTTGAACTTATTTCAAACCGTGCGTAGCCAACAGTGCTAATAAGAGGTACAATGTACACGTAAAATACAGTGCAGATGTGCAGTTATGAGTGCTTAATTTGTACATTACTCGCTTCAGAAGTCCAATAAATCGTTGTTCATATTGGCACTTGCAGTGTGCATATGACATATGGCTCCCAGAAACGTGGGTCCTTAACGAAAAATGCGGAACAAAGATTTTAAAGCGCTAAAACAAAAAAAAAAGCTTGGTGGAGAGGCCGCAGTGTTTGGCCATTAAATTTAGAGCCAGAAAGAGGTACACGCGGGATCGGAGAACTTTCACAGGTTCACGACATCACACAAACTAACGAGACAAGTGAGGAGCGGCCGTGGAATGGACGCGTCACGCCGAGACGGGATGATGGACATTGGGCAAAGGACGGTTACAGAGCGGCAGTCTCAAGGAGCGCTTCGCGGTCCGAGAAGGACGTCCATTGGCGGAGATGCAGCGACGAGATCATTTCACGTGCTGGTGCCGGATGGATTTGCTGCTATCGCAGGGTCGGTGGGAGGTGGCGGCAGCTTTTGGGGGTGGTGGGAGAGGCCTTCATCCAGCAGTGGATTGACCATGGCTGATGATGATGATGATGAATGTGTAGGGGAAGGCATCTGCAGAGAGTAAATGGTCCTTATCTCTATGGCTGTCAAGGAGGTTGTAAACTAAAAGCTTTTATCTGCACCGGGTTGTGTTGCAGTGTGAATGATTAACTAGAGTTAGGCAATTAAGGCTCAAGTGGAAGCCAAGCGTTATCTTAATGCAGTTTTAATATAGTAACTCCAACTGCTCTTGCTGCAGTGCAATTCGAATGCGTTAATGATGATAAAAGCCATCGCAACAGACAAATTAATGAGGTGTATATTGTGTTGACTCCGCCGTCAAGAGTTGCCCGATATCCTTGAAGGATGATACGTCTTACTAAACCGTTTGGCAGCGCGCGCTCGTTCTTTGGCTTTGTGCAAGTGAATATTTTTTTAGATCTGGTCTAATCCGATTGCTTAAGTAATCGATTACTCAACCGATTATCGTTCCATTACTGACCAAATAGGATAACATGAAATATAGCTTGGGGGTTGGCGGGGTGGAAGTCTTAACTGCCGTTCCTCGTGTGCCGCTGGACGGGAGGTGACGGGCATGGCTTGGTAATGTCATCAACATATTTAACTGTGCCACACTATACGTGGCTTTTAAGGGGTTTCCTGCCTTCGATAGTCAGAATGTTGGAAGATTAGCAGACATTTTTAAATGGGCCCTAGTGACCGACCACTAAATAAGTGGTCGATTGCAATATTCAGTTGATTAATCAAGTTAATGGATTCATCGGCACATCTATAAAAATTTGTTTTACATTAGTAATTTATCCAATGAAACCCCATGTCTGGCCAATTCCATTCTAAGGAGTGTTTCTGTCTGTGTGTGCGTGTGAGGAAACTGGAGTATCTAGAAAAACCGACCACAAATATGAGAGAGCGGAACTCTCCAACGCTTACACAGATGAGTTAAGGAGCCCATGTTCTGTAATGCAATACCCTGGCCACCTCCTCGCTCCTATCAGATTGAGTCTGTGAATATGAAGGATATCTGCGCGATCCACCAACCCTTGGCTCCAACTGCTCAGCACTCTCGGGGTCTAGTTTGCGTTTTTTGGTGATCGTTACTTTTGTTAGCGTGGCACCCAAGCTGGGATGGAATGCGCATTATACAATTATTATTATTGTACTCGTATGTAATTATACAACTGTATATTAATTATTGTGTATATATTTTGATTTAAAGCTTTCGTGACTGCAGTAATTCATATTCTTAGCTCTTTCGGTAAAGTCACGTTGTTTCCCTTCAACGTGACTTTACCGAAAGTAGCTAAGAATATTGTGTATATGTGCACGAGTCATGGGACTTTATGCATTCTATCTTGTTTCGCAATTTACTATTCAACTAACAATTTTCGTCATCAGCCATGATCATTCCACTGCTGGATGAAGGCCCCTCCCCAAGCCGTCGGCCATATCCCACAGTCCTGCGATGCAACAGTCCATCAAGTTTGTGCACATCGCAAGCTGATTCCGTCACTCCGTCTTCACAATGGACGTCCTCTCATGTGGTCGTTTTCCTCCGATGGCTGTGGGCTTTACCGGGTAAATAAAATAGTTTAGTTTGAGTTTAGTCTAGTCCACCACCGGCCAACGCCCCTTCTAGTCAAAACGGGTTCTGCCCAAGCCCACTTACTTTTCTTTACAGTCAATATTGTGTCTTCAACCTGCATCTCTATTTCTCTGATTCATGGAATGCTCTCTCACCGTGCAATTGCAAGCACGCACATCTCCGTGCCACTTTGTGCATTTCTTAGCTTTTGTTTTTCGCGTTTTTGCGTTTTGTCCATCCATAGCCACCTCTTGCGAGAAATCACAACCAACTAATGACTCCTCTCTATTTTTTGTCCACTCTCGCAAGCACAAACTTTTATTTTGGAAAAGACCAATTTATTTTTGACATACATTTCTTTACATATTACCTCTGTTCGGTCGTCCTTGTGCGTCTTCCAGTTCCCAAAGTCATCCACAGAATGACAAACACGTGTTTCGCAATAAATCAACATCACCAACTTGAACATCAAAAGTTATTTGTGCGTTGGGCGCCGGCTTGCAGAGCCCACCGGGCCTCTACCGGGTGTTGTCTCTTGAGACAACGATGCCACCGTGAATTCGTGCTAAGCACGCGAGAAGTGCCGTTGTTGGCCTTACTATCAACACGGCATTGTCCGTGCCGACTGGAATACAGACAGTTGTAGTTGTTCGCTGCAGGGCAGGGCGTTGTATTCACGATGCCCTAATTTCCATTGTGGCTTGCGCTGGTGTGCGTATAGCCATGTAATGCATTTGTATCGACATGGGTGTGAGGATGAAGGTGCAGCCCTCACAATTTGTGGCTCACGCCGCTGCCGGCGGAAGGGTCTGTCCCCCAGAGGGAGCTCCAGAGAGCCCCCTACAGGAGGTTACTTTGGCCTAATCTTCCGCTGAATGGGACGATGGCCGATGGGCGAGACTGGGTGACGGAACAGCAACCAGAGCACAGAATGGAGTGCCAAGAGGACGGCCGCCGGGGAGATGGGGCAATGAGATCAGCTCATGTGCTGGGAGCGAAGATGGGATGGTAGCAGCAGTGAACCGTGAGTGATGGTGACTGTGGGGAGGGCCTTCGTCCAGCAGTGGATAGACAATGTCCAACGATGACTTTACATAATGCAACCTTACGACGTCCGTTCTTTTCCCAGTGCCATTGCTGGTAATTAATTAACAGATATTTGCACGTTAAAGATTATCGGTTTTCCCAGAGCAGTTGCCGTTTCAGCACGTTTGATTAATTTACTGTACTCACGCCTATTAATAGAGTTGTGCGTTTTTTACCGAATTGCTCTTCCATGATTTACTTCCTCGTCGCGGCGCATGCCTCGGTGTGAATGAATGAATGAGTGCGGTGTCAGCATATCCAACGCGCCGCAGTACAGACGTGCAGTACGGCCGCCACGCATCGCCAAGTCCCGAGTTGTCGCGCCCCCGACAAGCGCGACGCTTGGCTACGTAACTGCGCGAGAGAGGTCCAGCGTTGAGTGCAGCGGCGTGGACGACTGTGCGTCCTGGAGGGCGATGGCCGCAGCGACGCGATGGGCGCGCGTCCAGACCCAGACGTCGCACCTGATTCGGACTGCTCCGATGTGATGACGGTGCAGCCCTGAAAATTCGCCTGTTAACGCCACTGCCTCGTGGAAGGCCTCTCATTGAATCCGCCGGCGGCATCCCAATGCAGGACCGCAGAGCTTGGGCAATTGTTGGTAACGCCGGTTCCGGCTGGCTTCCTTCTCGCTGCGGTTTCCCGTGTCCCTGTGCGAAAACTGTGCTCGTTACAAATCTACGCAATATCATTGTATTTATAAATAAATATTATTCAGGTTGTGAGTGTGTGAGCGTGTTCAGTGGTTAGCACGCTGCGCTATGAACCTGGCGACCCGAGTTTGATTTCCGCTCATGGCTAACACCAGTGACGATTATCTCAAGCGGTCCTGGGCCTCCCCTAGGTCGGCTCGACCTCAAATGAGTACCTGGTGCGGTGTGTAAAACATTAGCACGGGGGGAACAGGGGCGGCCGGGCGTGGTGCTGGCTACCCATCCCTTCGTATGCTGTCTGTTAAAGGCTATACAGGGAATCTTTGTCTTTGTATATATGTATTTATGTTGAACTTCTTTTGCACCATACGTAGCCTACCATGTTAATCGGAGGTGAGTGAGTGCGTGTCTTGAGTGGGTGCCAGTGAACATGGACTGCACGACGAATTCCATTTCATTTCCACCCCCATTTACGTGGTAAAAAAAAATGTCCTGTGAGCCGTTAGTAAAAGGAAAGCTTAGAAGTTGAAACTTCAAATGATTTATTTACAGCTATATTCGCTTCTACAAAGAGTCAGTTGCTCGGTATAAGAGCCCTGATGGCCGTTAAGCGCCCGTAACGTTGTTGCCGTTGTCCTCGCGGGCACTTGTAGCGCGTCGTGACCTCTGCCCCCCTGGTGCGTGTGGACGTGTGTGTCTGTGTGCGCGTGTGGACGTGTGTGTGTGCGCGTGTGTGTGTATGTGCGTGTGTTTGTATGGGAAGTAGTAGTGCTTCGGTTAGCGCGCTGCGCTATGCAACCCGGCCATCCGGGTTCGATTCCCGCTCACAGCCAACACCAGTGACGATTATCTGAACCGGTCCTGGGCCTCTCCTTGGTCGATTCAGCCTCAAATGAGCACCTGGTGCGGTGTGTAAACATCGCCACTGGGGAGACAAAGGTGGTCGGGCGTGGTGCTGACCACCCACCCCCTCGTGTACCGTGCCGGCCTTCATAGGTGCTCGCGAACAGCACTTGCCCCTACAGTCCGTTAAGGCTATACGGGGGATCTTTGTCTTTTTGTGTGTGTGTGTGTATGTGCGTGTGTGTGCGTCCACGCGTGTGTGTCCCCGTGCGTATGTGTGTGTGTGTGAGACACAACAGCGGCAATTTCGTGGTTAGCACTTTGCCCTATGAACCCGGTGATCCGATTTTGATTCCCCGCTCACGGCCAAGACGATTGTTGATTATCTGAACTTGTCCAAGGCCTCCCCTAGGTCGACTCAGCCTCAAATAAGTATCTGCTGCGGTGTATAAAAAAAAAACATCGCTACTGGAGAGACGAAGACGGCCGGGCGAGGCGCTGGCCCACCCACCCCCCTCGCGTGCCCTTGCCGGCCTTAATAGGCGCTCCGGTAACCGCACTCGCCCCTACAGTCTGAAGGCTATATGGATGGGGGGTCGGTTGTCTTTGTGTGTGACGAGACAGATCGGCCTCATGTCGGTGACGCTCTTCCCCATCCGGCTGCTGCTGGCCGCGTTCATGATGCTGCTCGCGTGGCCCTTCGCCTTCATGGCCAGCCTGTGGCGCACCAAAGCCAACGCCGACCAGCCCTTCCCGTGGTGGCTCAAGTGAGTGCCCTGCCGAGTGCCGAGCCAACCCGGCGCGGCCCGGCACACGCCGGCCTGGTGTGTTTTGTTTTCCACTGCGGAAGCCGTGCCGTGCCGTGCCGGTGGCGTCACGCGCGGCGAGCGAGTGGAGACGCGTGTGTAGCAGGCGACGGGGTGGTACTGTGTTTCTATCTATTTATGTTGGACTTGTTTTGCACCGTACGTAGCCAACCATGCTAATTGCGGGGAGTGGTAGTGCAGCGGTTAGCGCGCCGCGCTACGAACCCGGCGTGCCGAGTTCGATTCCCGCTCACGGCCAACACCAGTGACGATTATCTGAACCGGTCCTGGGCCTCCCCTAGGTCGACTCAGCCTCAAATGAATACCTTGTGCGGTGTGTAAACATTGCCACTGGGGAGACAAAGGCGGCCGGGCGTGGTCTTGGCCACCCACCGCCTCGTGTGCCGTTTTGGCCTTCATAGGTGCTCGCTAACAGCAAATTCCCAAACAGTCTGTTAAAGGCTATACGGGGGGATCTTTGTCTTGTCTTTGTTGAACTTCTTATGCACCGTACATAGCTTACCATGCTAATTGCGGCACGCGGTGAGCGAGTGGAGACGCGTGTAGCAGGAGACTCTCTGGTGCCGTCTTTGTGAGTCCAGCACTACGCGGTTTGCTTTTGTCTCGGCACGGCAAAATAGCCGATGGCGAAACCACCTAAACAGCGAGGGCAACTGCGCTGGCTCGGCTTGCATGCGCCAGTGGAAAAAGGGCTTGCATGTCGCCCCGGGTGGCGTAGGGGGCCCATGCGATCTGAGAGATCCTTTATAGCTAAATAAAACCAAACCAGCACCTGAAAGGAGAACGGGTCAGGGGAAGTGGACGACTGTTGAGAAACGCGGGAGAGAGGATTACGCCCTCGAGACATGGAGCAACCGGGTGCCCAACGACAACAACAAACTTCTTCTTTCGTGTGGCTGATGTAAGATGCAGAGCAAGGACTACAATGTCACGTTCAGGTGGTCAAGCCAGATAACCGGCGTCAGGAGCAACGGAGTGTATCATCGCCGTGGTGTCTCCTTCGTATCTGTGGATCGGGGCATTGCGTCATTATAGGTTGTCGGTTTGTTCCGGATCACCGCAGTCGCACACCGATGGAGAGTTTTTAACTTTCCATTTGTGCGTTAGGTATCCGCGTCTGCCATTGTTTGTGCAGATGCGGTTTAGGGTGGACCACGAGCTTCGAAGATGATAAAACCCAGGGGTTTGTGAGTTCTTTTGAACTCCATTCAGCTCTCCAGGCTTCATGGGGTTGAATTCGCTTCATTTAACAACAACAACAACAACATCAACGATCCCCAGGGACAGCTGCGGTGGCCAAGGCAGTACCAGCGAGTCCTCCAGGGCATTCTCTGGGTGATGGAGCCCTTCAATAAGTCCCAGGGCAGCCACAGGGAGCACTGTGGGGCCATTTTACCAATGGGTTCCTGGGGGAAGTCTGGGGCAGCACTCACGTGACTGAACAGTTTTTTTTTTAAGTGGACCTCAGGAGTAGTTCTGCGACGTCCACTTCCATGGAATTTTCGTAACGCACGGCGATGTCTTCCGACCGTGGCTGCGAGAAGTTTGGACTGGACACGTTTTTTTACCTGTTTGCTGAAACGAAGCCGGAAGCATGGGCGCAATGCAACCCGAGATAATAAACAAATATATATCAAATAAGAAATGTCAAAGTGAACGCAGCGATTTGTACGGCGTGTGCACCTGTTCCCTTCCTTGCCCGCACCACCCTTAGAGCGCCCGTGTGAGCCACGCGTGTTTGCCTGGTATCCGGTTTGCTTTATCGAGTGAAATATGTATTGAACAAAAATATGTATACATCCCACGGGGAAAATTGTGTGAAGCCTTTACACGTCTTCAAAGGAATGTATTTACCAAGTGGCGGATGAGTTTTAAGCGGAGATGAGCCTTAACCTGAAGGATTACTTGTAAATTACAGAGAGCTGTAAGTGGGATGCTGTCACTAATGTTGAAACGACTGCACGCGATCCAAGCGGTGACCGTTGACGGGAAAACAATCCCGTTTATTGAATCGATGAAGTTGTTCCGGGAGACGGAGTGTTGAAATTCACTCCCGTGGAGGTGCCGGTCTGGTTCCTAGCATCGTAGGGTTGTTGGTGAAATGGCCAGGTTTTGGAGAGGCCCTCAGCCATCAGTGGATTGATTATGGCTAATAATGATAATAGTGGCGGTCGTGATATTTTCGTAAGGACCTGAAAATGGAACTAATGACAGCCACGGAGGTGATGTCGCTTTGCAGAAGCAGTACAAAGCTGCCGTTCATCCATTGACATCCTCTCGGAAGGCCACGGCCTATCACGCTCCTCATCAAAGCCATCCTATCGATTAGGGACGCGGTTATGTTCCAGATAAGATCTGGCGGTCGCCTCTTTTATACATTTATTATTTAAGGCCACGGTGTTATTGACGAATTAGTTTTTTTGTTATTTATGCGTGTGCACCACTGCCGATGCAGTATCGCCAATTAATTTGTTTTCCGTGTCCTGACTGGGCACTGAACCGACTACAGTGTTATATTCTAGCGTGTGGAAATATGTTCAGGAGCTAAATCACAATGTCGAGGTTTTCTAGCCACGGTGATGAGGGTTTCAGCAGAGTGAGAAAGAGTTGTCGTTTTGCTGTTCCTCCTCCTCCGTTGAAGGAGCACAGACCATAGTGCGTTTTACTCTGTGGTCCATACTTTGGGTTGCATGGCCACAGCCGCACTACTGTGGCTTGTCTTTAATCTTCCATTCATGCAGGAGATGTGCGCATCAGCCTGTTAATGTTCTACGCTCGTGCTCGATTGTGTATTCAATAGTTGCCCAGTAAAATTCAATATTTTATCGACCCGATAATGCGATGTGGGTGACCCAGGTTGCTAACCTGATCGTTTGCGTTTTCACCTGCTTAAACAAATTTAACTCCACTTAACTTTTAAATGCCACACGCTTTCAAGTGAATACGGCGGCGTGCTACGGAGGTGAGCGGATACAGCTCTGTGCCTGCGGCGAAATAAATAGTTGTTGGGGCAGTGTCTGATTTCAAGGGATAAGCACGCCACAGATGAATTAATATTTTAATTTTTATATCTCAGTGGCTCGCCATAACCTCGTAACTCTAGCATTATGCAAAGCAGGCAGCAGCTATAAGCACACCGGTAGAAAGAGAGTCGACGGGTTGTTTGAGTTGAGCTGGGTGACGAGGACGATACACTTGTGTAACAAAAAACTTTTATTTTGTTCCTGGGCGTGTAAGCGTTATTTCCTTATTGAGTATGCCTCAAACGTACAGAAAATGGCTATTTATTACCCACAAACTTTGCTTTTGTGACCAGGACAGTGATATTTTGAAATGTACCCATTTTCAATGAGAAAACGTGGTGTGCATTTGTGTCACTCCTTCACGTAAAGTCCTGGTCACAAAAGCAAAGTTTGTGGGGAATAATAATAATAGCCGTTTTCTATACTTTTGAGGCATAAGCAATTAGAAAATAACACTTAGTACCGTGGCACAAAAATCGTGTTACATAGTGAGCTATTGAAGATGGGGGAATGTTCGAAAGTCCAGGAGCGCGAGAGAGAGTGAGATTGAGGAAGAGAAATGTCCTGACCTGGAATGTGTCAGTTAAGCGCATCTTCAATGTTTACATGAACACACACACAATGATATTCAAGAAAAAGATAAAGATCCCCCCCCCCCTTCTATAGCCTTAAACAGGCTGTTGGGTCAAGTGCTGTTAGCGAGCACCTCTGAACACAGGCGTGGTGCACGAGGGGGTGGGTGGGTGGGTGGCCAGCACCACGCCCCGGCTACCTTTATCTCCCCAGTGCTAATGTTTGCACACACACACACATGCGCACTGCACTAGCTACTCATTTAGTGCTGAGTCGACCTAGGGGGAGGCTCCAGGAAAAGTTAATCGCAACTGTTATTGCTCGTGGCGTGGAAAGCGGCGCCCCCTTCGCCATCAGTCGTGTCAGCGAAAGCATTTGCAGGGCCTGCGCGTTTCACCGTTGAATCTTTGCTGCCGCGAATCGTAAATATTAGGAATTTACGAGGTTAGGCGAATTGTTACAAATTGTACCTCGTGTGGACCGTCGCTTAATAAAAACGAACTGGAAGGGGATTTCGCAACGCATTGCAGAAAATGTTAAAAGGGGGGGGGGTAGGTTAACCATTCCCAGCTGAGTTATCGTGTCCAGAGCGATTGTGTCTTACGCTGCGGTGATTCTTTAAGTGCAAACTTTTTATTTTGCCGGTGAACTTTAACCCTTTGGTGGCAATCGGTCACAGAAGCGAATTATTATTATTATTCGTGCTTCGGGGCACACTGCATAGAAACGCGGGGGATCATCATGGCCAGATAGAGGCAGTCGCTCTCAGTTTACGGCTTAACTGCGGGTAATTCCGATGCCGTGATTAGGGCCATAGCAACGTCATACTCTTGAGAATGAAACCGATAAGCAGACAATAGCTCTGCTTTATATATCCGTCCGTCTCTCCACGTTGGCCTCGGCAAGGAAAGGTAAAAGGTCAAAAGCAATGAGCCTACCTTTACCCTACCTTTTACCTTACCACAATACAAATTACCCGATTACATGGTAATTACTGGGGTACTACACATGAAAAAGGTTTATGCCAGGTAAATGCTAGGGAGAGCGCTTTATTCATCTATATATATAAAAGGGAAATTTGTGAATGTGTGTCTTTTCAAAATATTTAGCATACTGCAACAAACTTTAAATTTAGCATGTGGGTAGCTTCCAGACTTACACAATGCTAAAAGTCTAAAAATAGACTTTTGTATTTGGGGGGGGGGGCGCAATAATGGATATAATATATTGCACAGCAAGTGAGCGGTGATGTCATATCTGTGATGTCACCCGCATGCGGCAGCGTCACGCAGTGTGCCTGCTGACGTCACGCACTCCCCCCCCACTCTCCGCGTAGGCCATGTA